CGCCTCCCAGCCCCACACACAAAGGCGGGGGGTCCCCCGGTACTCACCCGCCGGCTGCTGCGCTCCAAGCCCCTCGGAGCCCGCCCGCCTGGGGAGGCTCCTGCCGTCCGGCGGGGCTGCCTCTTGGCCGGCCGCGGGGGTCCCGGAGCCTTCGGCACCGCTCGCCACCTTCAACGAGAGCATTTCCAGCGCCTCCTGCTCACATTCTCCCCAGGCAACTCCGCTCCTGCCAGCCCACCCCCTCCTCCGTCCCCTGCCTGCTCTTTCCTCTCCTCTCTCGTCCTTCCCTCTCTCCCCCCCACCCCCCCCACCCCTCTATTTTATGATTTTTCCGGCTTTTTCTCTCCCCTCTAACGCTCATCTGGGTTTTTTTTTTCCATGGGTTTTATTTTTTCCTCCTCTTCCCCCCCCCCCTTCGCCTCTCACACACACAAAAGGCAGCGGAGCGGGAGGGCGGAGGGAACCGACCTCCCCTCTGCGCCTCCGCCGCTCGCCGCCTGCGGAAAGCAAAGAAAGACACAGCGCAGCAGAGCCCTGGCTTGCCGCTGCCTCCCCCCTTCCTCCTCCTCCTCCTCTCTTCCCTCCTCCTCCTCCTCCTCCTCCTCCTCCACCTCCTCCCTCGCTCTTGCCTTCTGCCGCTCCCGGCTTTGTGGGGGCTGGGATAAAAGGGGGGGAGCGCAGCCGGCGGCGCGGCGCGCCCAGCCCCTCGCTCCTCTCCGTTGCGCGGCGGGGGACCGCGGCTCCGCTTCGCTCCGCTGTCAGCGGCACGGCCAGCATCCGGCACCCCGGGGAGCCGTGCAGCACCGCCGGGGCATGCCGGGCCTTGTAGTCCTTCCTTTCCCTTCCCCCCCCCCCCTCCTTTTTTTCCCCTCCTTCTTTTCCTCTTCCCCCCCCTCCGCCTTCTTTCTCCTCCCCGCCGCTGCGAAGCGCGCAGGGAGGGGCGCAAGCGGGCGCGCAACCGTTGCGCGCTGCTTGGGGAGGGGAATACTTTAAGGGGGGGGGTAACCGGAGGTGGTTTGCCGCCCCCCCGCCCCGGGATGCCCCCCCCCCCCCCGTGATCCCAATGGGATGCGCGGGGCACTGCTGCCCTCTCCCGGGCACTGCGCACCCCCTCCCTAAGAATATGGGATCTGGGGACACCACAGCCTGTGCACCCCCGCTTTGGCACAAACCGAGGTGCGCATCATCACTTCAGCACCCTCTGCATCTCAGCACCCTACGGAGCACCCCCTGGTTTATTTTCCCCTACTTTTAATGAATTTCTTCTTAAGCTCTTGTGCCTGGAAGCATCCCCACTGCTCACTAACACCCTGCTCCTCCACATCCTTTGGGATCCCCTCCTATCCAGGTCTTCCAGGAGGCCAAGTAATGACCGAACCCCCTTGGGACAGAGCAGGGAGCTGCTCTCCAAGCACCTGGAGCACCCCATGGCTCCCCTGAGCATCTCCCCACCACCTTCCCTCCGAGCCTCCGCTGCTGTTAATGTTCCCAGAGCCGGGTAGATCCAATATAATTAAAGTAGATAATACCAGTGATGTTTGTTATGACATTGTGTTTTTGTGAGTGACGAGTGAAGGGTTAACTCCAGGGAATTGGGAATATTGCTTGGCTGCTAATAACACGTGAGTCATCGATGAAAGAACACATGGGTGCAGGGAGAGACACAGCACCTGGTTCTACAGCAGCCCCTTCGCCTGTGTGGGGCAGGTCAGGGTCTGATGCCTGTTTCCGGATCAACAGGCAGAAAGGAGTGAATCCAGACACCCCCAGTTTCACCACCACGTTGGGATGAACTGGGGTCACGCAGGGTGGTGTCTTCCAGTGGGGACCTATTGAAAAGCCGTGAGCTCCATCCTATCCTGTGCACCCTGTAGGGATTAGCAGGGATGGATTGGGAACCAGTTGGATTCCACACACCCTGGATAAGGATGGGGATCAGTCTGCATCACTCGGGAAGCAGAGCAGTGGGGAGGCCTGGGCTGCAGCCCGGTCAGCAGAGGAATCTGCACACGCAGACAGGATCACTGCAATTGCTGGTGGCTGAGTGAGCAACTTTGCTCCCTCGTCCCCTCGCCCTGAATGTCAGCTTTGAATTTTCCTGCTATTTTTAGGGATGGTTCAAAACACCCAAGGAGGATCCCTCCCTTCTCGCCTTGCAGGGCTCTGCACCCAATGGGTATTGCAAGCCTGAGTGTAGCTGTGGGAGAGCAGGACAGAGGGACAGAGGGACAGAGGGACAGAGGGACAGAGATGTGAAACCCTTTCTGCTGCAAGCAGAATGGGTTAGAATGTAAAAGATTTATTCATTTAATCCAAAGCATTAAAAGGTCATGTATTAATCAAAGAGATGCTTAAAACTGTCAAAGTCCTTTGTCAGGTTTGAAGCGCATCTCTATAGTTATCATAAAATATATATATCTGTCTGGCATGGAGCCCTCGGCAGGGCTGGGAGCAGGGACGAGGAGCAAAGGCAGGCTCTTTGCAGTGGGGTCCTTGTGGAGGGGGACCCCTCCTTGAGCCCTGCTGGGCTCCCATGGGTGCCCAGCACCCCTAAGCTGAGCTGTGTGCATTGGGGACCACTCCACTTATCCCCAGGCCTGGGTTTGTCCCCTGCCAAGCTCGGCTGCGGGGGGTGTTTTGGTGTTGGGGGGCAGATGGGGAGATGGGGATGGGAAGGGGGTTCGGTTTGATGGGGGTGATGAGTCTGGGAGTGGATTCCGCCCTCACCCCTGGTTCTTAATGGGCACAGGAGGTTCGGGGGCATGGTAGGGGGCACTGGGATGGGTGAACCATGCCCAATGCCACCCGAGTCACAACGCGGCGGGTGCTCAGCCCCGCCGGGGTCTCTTAACGGTGGGTGACGGAGGATGGTCCCCAGGGCCACCCGGGTCACCCGGGCACCCCGTCCCCTCTCCCAGCCAAGTGCTGTGTCAGCAGCGCTGGCGTGGACTTACGCTACCATCTAGTGGCTGCTTTGCCGAGCCGGGGCCACCGCTGCCCCCTGCTCGCAGCACCGTGTCCCCACACGCTGCGGGCTCCAGCCTCAATCCCCTCCATCCCAAAGAGGCAAGGACCCTCTCCTCAGCACCCTTCCCACGATCAGACCTGCCTGGGATGCTCGGCTTGGCTTGGATGAGCGGTGGTGGCCAGCAGCCTGCAAGCCACCAGCACCCTGGGGTGGGTGCAGAGGGCTTGGGGGCAGTGGGGTGTAGCAGGGGAGAGCTGGGGTGCACAGGGACAGCAGAGCTAGGGGGACAGTGAAAGGTGAGTGATGCTTTGGTGGGATGCAGGAGTTTGGGAAGAGCGTGGTTCAGAGGCCCCAACTTGGGTTTGGGGTGATCCTGCCCCTCTGGGATCGGTGGAGCATTTGGACCAGGTGGGTTTTGCCTTAGTACATGTAAAGGGACTCATCCATCCCTGAATTCCTGCCCTGTGCTGCCCCAGAGCAGAGGCAAAACCATCCCAAACTTCTCCCCAGTGGAATCATTTTGGAGCAGCCACCAGCAGCACCACGCCTGCTGTGCCTCCTCCCCATCCATGTGCGTCTGCATGGCGACCCCATCATCAGCCAAGAACCTTCCATCCCCAAATCCTGCTGCTCCCTGGATGCTGCTGGGGCTGGTGCATGGCTCTTCCCAAAGATCAGCTGCTTATCCATGGAAAAAGGCATACCCTCCCAGAGACTGGTGCTGAGCTGCTGGGTGACTGCAGATAGACCCCTCTCTGCCTCAGTTTCCCCTTTGGAGACACAGTCCCTGCAGGCCTTGGCCAGCAGTCCTAAGCCTGGTCAAGCTCAAAGCCCCATTTTTGGCCACTTTCCACTGTTGTTTGGCCATTCCTGCCGCAGGGATGTGGCTCTGATCCACAACCCAGGAGCTCCACGGGCTCTACCAGCCCCTGGAGAGCATGGGCTGAATGGGACAGGCCCTGTTTTGGGTGGGGATGGCCCCTTTTTGGTCCCATTGAGGGACCAAATGTCCCTCAATGACCGTGTGCCAGCGCCGGCCATCTGCAGTGGTCTCACACCTGCGCCCACCGCACGCTTGGCACCGGGTGAGCATCCTGGCTCCAGAACCCCCCTGCTCCTCCATCCCGCATGGATGGAGGCTTGGCAGAGCAGCCAGCCGGAGCGGGACCGCATGGGCAGGGATTGGCACCATGGGGAGGGGGGGCCTGGGGAGGAACAGGGCGGGACTTCATGCCACATCCTCGTGCTGGATCCATCCCTGGGCTGCAGCGGGGGAGCTGATGCTGAGCTGCTTTGCCTCCTCTCCAGGAGATGCTGCAGCCAGGGCTCGGCTCTGCATCCTCTGGGATGCTGCAGGGACCGCGCAGCCAGGAGGGGAAGGGGCCAGAGCCCTCCTGCCTGGATGCTGAGTTTTGCCCCCACCCCCCCAGCACCCACAGGGTGCTCCTTTCAAGCACCCAACCCAAGCACCTTTGGGGGGGGGGGGGGGGAAGACTCTTTCCCCAGCTCCCCATTGCTTCTGGCTGGAGGAGCCCCCTCCCCTTGGGTGCTGAGGGGTGCTGTGCCCCGCCCCAGACACTGTTGCTTCACCCCAGGTCCATGCAGCCCAAGCATTAACATCAAATCAACGCCCCCCTCCCTGTAGAGCCTGCTTGCATCCCACTGTGAAACCCTTTAACCCAAACCCACCCTGCATGGTCTTACCATGGGGCAGCCCGTCTCCCCAAAGGAGGGGGGTCAGAAGGACCCAGGCTCCCCCCCACTTGTTAGAAAGGTTTTATTTCTCTCTATTTACAGACTGCATTTATAAAACCATCAACAATGAAGACTCCCCCCCCCCCCCCGGTTCCCTCATCCTTCCCCCTTGGCATAGCCCTGCCCTATGGGTGTAGGGGGGTGCTGGCCATGGGGCCAAGCCAGGGTATCCCCTCCCCATCACATTCACATTGCACCCCAAATCCCCCCATCAGCCCCTGATAATGTCTTGTCACAGGGGTTGGAGCCAAGCTGCAGCCAGAGCACTGTGGGGCAGACCCCATCCCGTACCCCCCCCTCCTGCCCCCACACAGGGCAATGGGAAACAGCCCCAGGGGCAGATCTGAGCCCCCAGCCTCAACCCCTGGGATCCCAAGACTCCCTGTTTGTGTGTCATCACCCCCCCCAGTGCAAGCAGAGGTTTATGGCTTTAAGGAGAGGAGATTAAGGGGGGGGGGGGGATGGACACGAGGGGATCCCCCCAAATACAGGGGTCCCTGAGGGTGAAGGGTATGAAATCCTATAAATTAAAGATGACATAAAGGGGGTTGAGGTGACTTTCTCCAGGTCAGAGCCAGGATTTGGGGTGGGTTGAACCCCCCCAGCTGCTGGGGAAGAAGAGATGGAGCCCCCAACCCCAAGGCCTCTGCTGCTATAACAGGAGTGTCCGGGGGCCATGGGGAGGTTCCCCAAAGCACTCCTCTGGTTCAGAGCCGGCTGTGAAGGCAACAAGGGGTGGGGGGCACTGCTTTGCCCCCTCTCTGGGGGCAGAATCCTTGTGCAAAGCCCCGTGTCCCCCATGGGGCACCCCAAGTACCTCCCAGTGGGTGGGTTTTGGGGGGTCACGGCCAAAGGGAGCACCTCCCCTGCCCCAAGGCCACCCCAAACCCGGGGGAGGGGGGTCACTGGTTGTCACCAGGCTGGTACTGGGGCTCGGTGGCGGTGAAGTAGTCCTCGAGGAAGGACTGGAGGTACTCGAAGGTGGGACGCTCCTCGGGCTCCCGCTTCCAGCACTGCACCATCACCTCGTGCAGGGATGGGGGGCAGCTCCCGGGGCACTGCATGCGGTACCCGCGCTCCACCTGCTCCAGCACCTCCCGGTTGTTCATCCCTGCGGGACAGGAACACCCATTGGCACCCCCAGTGGCTCGGATAGGGAGGCACAGGGCAAGCCTTGCTGGTCCTGCTGCCCCGGGGGGCCGTACCTGGGTAGGGCACCCGGCCTTTGGTCACCAGCTCTGTCAGGAGGATGCCAAAGGACCAGACATCCGACTTGATGGTGAATTTCCCAAAGAGAGCAGCCTCTGGAGCAGTCCATTTGATGGGGAACTTGGCACCTGCAAGCGGAGGGAGGTGAGCTGGGGCAGCCCTCTGCACCCGGGGTACCCCACATGGGGACAGCCAGCAGCGGGGACAACCTGTACTGAGGGCGTTCTGCATCCAAGGCACCCTGCAGTGGGAGGATGCTGCACTGAGACACTGTGCACTGGGGCACCCAGCACCCAAGGCATCCTGCATCTGGGATACCCATCATCTGGGGCACCCATCCCCTGGGACACCCACAGAATTCCAGCCTGGTTTGGGTTGGAAGGGACCTTGAAGCTCCTCCAGCTCCAACCCCTGCCACGGGCAGGGACCCCTTCCACTGGAGCAGCTTGCTCCAAGCCCCTGTGTCCAACCTGGCCTTGAACACTGCCAGGGATGGGGCAGCCACAGCTTCTCTGGGCACCCTGTGCCAGCGCCTCAGCACCCTCACAGGGAAGAGCTTCTGCCTAAGAGCTCATCTCAGTCTCCCCTCTGGCAGGTTAAAGCCATTCCCCTTACCCTGTCCCTCCATCCCTTGCTTAAAGCCCCTCTCCAGCTTTCCTGTCAGCCCTTTTAGCCTTTTTAGTTTGCTTCCCCATCACCTGGGACACCCATCACTGGTGGTGACCAGCTCCAGCCCCAAGTGGGGCCGCAGCACAGGGCAGTGGTTGCAGCAGCACTGTGGCACCACAGCAGCTCACCCTGGCGCGCTGTGTACTCGTTGTCCTCAATGAGGCGAGCGAGGCCGAAGTCAGCGATCTTGCACACCAGGTTGTCTCCCACCAGGATGTTGGCAGCACGAAGATCCCGGTGGATGTAGTTCATCCGCTCAATGTAAGCCATGCCCGCCGCGATCTGCGGAGGAGGACACAGTGAGGACGTACCCCATGGGGGCACCCCCACCTCCTTCCAGCATCCCCAGTACCTGAGCAGCCATATCCACCAGTTGGGGCAGCTTCAGGTAGCGGCCATCCCCATCCTTCAGGAAGTCCAGCAAGCTGCCTGCAAGCAGAGGGTGCCGTTCAAAGCATCCAAGAACCATCTGTGCCCATCCGAGGGGGCAAACCTCCCACCCTAGGACCTGCTCCCTGCCCAGCAGCGCCCATGCAGGGTGAGGCTTGCCCCCCGCTCACCCTGGCTCATGAACTCGGTGACGATGTAGATGGGCTCCTCCGACACCACGGCATAGAGCTGCACCAGCTTGTCGTGCCGCAGGCGCTTCATGATCTGAGCCTCCTCCAGGAAGGCCTCTGGGGACATGGTGCCGGGCTTCAGCGTCTTCACCGCCACCTTCGTGGTGCCATTCCATGTCCCTGCACCAGGGATCACAGCATCACCACCAGCACAGGGGGCAGCCAGCCCTGGCAGGGCTGGGAGGGATGGATGGATGGATGGATGGATGGATGGATGGATGGATGGATGGATGGATGGATGGATGGATGGATGGATGGATGGATAAATGGGTGGAGGGAAGGATGCGTGCATGGAGGAGCAAGGAAATCAAGGCAGGGCAAGGAAGGGTCCTGACACCACCATACCCCCCCAGGCCAAGGAGCCTTCCTCATTCCATTTCATGGGGACAAGACACCCGTGAGCTTCTCATACCAACCTTACCCCATTCCCTGTCCCTCCATGGGGAGCCTATGCCTGGTACCCCGTGATGCTGCTGCCTCCCACCCCGGCCGGCCAGGCCAGCCTTACCCATCCACACGTCTCCAAAGCATCCCATGCCGAGCTTCTTGTCCAGGCTGATGGATTCCCGCACTATTTCCCAGGCGTCCTTAGCTAATCCCAGGGTCTGGGGCTTCAGAGTGGGGCACACACGGGTGAGCAGATGGCACAACCCATCGTTACACTCTGCGGGGCAGAGGGATGCAGGGAAGGGAGGAAGGAGCGGGGGAATGCGATGGGATGAATACAGCATGCATGCCGAGCGGAGCGAGCACGGGGCACTGCAGGAAGAGGATGACAAAGAGGGGTCCCCCCGGCCTGGATCTGTGCTCCCATTTGAAATGGGGGGGGGCTGCTCGCCCACGATGGGGCATCCTCATTGTGACCCTAGAGCAGGACATGGGACACATTGGTGCTGCTTTCCCTTGGGGTGGATGCCAGGCCGGGGGTGCCCCTTCGTCACCCCATCCCCACCACTTGCCCCCGCTTGCCCACCGGGCCCTACCCATCCACACTTCCCCGAACTGCCCATTGCCCAGCTTCTTGAGGAGCTGGAGGGACTCGCGGGGGATCTCCCACACGTCCTTGGTCTTAACAGACAGGTCGGCCAGCCTGGGGGTCCCCCTGGGGCACGGCACAGCCAGGCGGCAGCACAGCCCGGCCGCCCGCTCTGCGGCACCGGCGAGGGGACACGCATCACCCAACAGCATCTCGCCCCCAACCCCAAGCCCCGGCATCACCCACACGGCCCAGGCACCCCTTAACGTCAGACACATCAATGGGAGAGGGAGATGGTAGGGGGTGCAATGGGGTGCACCCTCTCATCTGAACCCCAAAACCCCCCATCCAGACCCAGGGGCTATTTACCTCGGAGCTGCCTGTGCCGAGGACGTGGAAGAGAGGGGACACTCAGGGTGCTCCCTAATGCCACCCCTTCTCCAGTTCAACCCCTCTAGCTGCCTCTTGCCACTGGGTCTCCTGGGCTTTTCCTACCCGATGCCACCACCCCTCCATGCCTTTCCCCCCCCGGAATGCCATCCCACCCTACCTATATAGTGCTGGACCAGCTGCTGGACAGTGTCGAACTGGGCACGGGTGGTGATGTAGTAGCCCCCGTTGTCAAGTTTCCGGATCTTATAGTGCTTCACATGGTCTCCTTTGGCCTCATCCCAGTCCCGGATGGAGAGGGAATAGGCACCTAGGTGTGGGCACGGCTCAGGGGGGGATGTGGGGTGCACCCCCCAGTGTCCCCATCCCTGTGCCCATACCTTTGGTTGTCTCACTCTCCCGGATGAGGAAAGTGCCCCTGCAGTTGCCGTGACACAGGAGCTGCCGCTCCGCATCCTTGCGCCCGATCTTCCCAAAGTACCACCTGCAATGGGGCCGGGCTCAGCACCCCATGGGCACCCCATGGGAACCCCGTGCCCTCCCTCCATCCCTGCCCCCCCCACCTACTCACTCTTCTGCCTGGATCGAGTCCACCGGGGCCACGTAGTTGCTGGGGATGTAGCCGGTGGCACCCGAGCTCAGCGACCTGGCCTCCCACCAGTCACCCTCCCTGTGGGAAGAGGAACGGGGTGACAGAAGGAACAGGGTTGGACCTGGCTGTCCTGCACACAGCACCCCCAGATCCTGCTCTGCCCCACTGTGGGGCCCTTGTCTCTGCTGAGACCCCACAACTCGTGACCCACATGGCTCTCATAGGTACTCAGTGATAGAGCTGAGTCTGCGTCTGCAGTGGTACCCATGGCGTGGGGACACTGGGGGTGGCAGGAGGGTGCAGGGGGGCTCACGTGTTGTTGATGATGTGGAATTTCTCCCCCTTCTGGAAGGTCAGGTCATCCTCCGTCCTGGCCTCATAGTCATAGAGGGCAATGAAGAGCGTCACACCTCCCCCTGCAGCACATTGAGGGGACCACAGTGACCCCCACGCACCCCCCAGCACCTCGAGGGTGCACCAGGACCCCCCCCCCACTGACCTGAGATGCCCCCGCTCCGCATCTGCAGCGTGTTGGAGGTGAAGCCCCCCGGCCCCAGCAAGGATGGAGCTGCAGGGACCGCTGCGCCGTGGAAGTTGTTGAAGTCAGGGATGCGGGTGAAGATGGCACCCGGCTGCGTGGGCTCGGGGTCATACTGGGACACAGGGGGCTGGGGGGCACCCAGCTCGCCCCCCACTTGCCCTTTGCGGGTGCCCTTCTCTTTGCAGTGCACACAGCCCATCCTGGGCACGACCTGCGGGACGGAGGGACGAGCCCCGCTGACACAGCACACACGTGTGCACACGCGTGTGCAAGCATGTCCCAGTTAAATAGCCCCGGCACAGCCAGCAGCAGGGAGCAGGCTGTGAAGAGGTCCCCCCTGGCACCCATGGGTGCTCCTGTCTGTGGTGACCCCACTCACTGCAACAGCTCCTCAGGTCACTTCAGCTGCTCCATTGTCACCTCGGGGATGGGAACAGGCTCCTGTGGACAGAGAGGAGGGCACGGGCTAAAACAGCAATCAATGGGCTGCAGCACCCCTCGATGGGCTGAAACACCCCGAGGTGGGCTCTGACACCGCTGCACTGGCTAAACCATCCCATCCATGGGCTGCAACACCCCTGCATGGGCTGCAGTAGCCCTGTATGAGCTAAAGCATCCCTGTATGGGCTGCAATAGCCCTGCACAAGCTGCAACACCACTGCATGAGCTAAAGCGTGCCTGCATGAGCTGAAACACCCCTGGACAGACTGCAACACCCCGCATGGGCTGCAATAGCCCTGCATGAGCTAAAGCAGCCCTGTATGGGCTGCAATAGCCCTGTGCAGGCTGAAACCACATCCTCAAGCAGGTTTTCCTGCTGCTGTGTCCTCAACAACCCCATCACTGCCCCCCAAGGGGAGATGCATCCCTCTAAGGGTGGGAAGGAGCCCTCGCAGTGTCCCTGTCCCCATTCCCTTTGCTCTGTCTCCATCAGGACACCCCAGCTCCAGCTCCAGAGCACAGGAGATGGAGCCTTTGGGCTGGATGAGCCATTTCCCCTACCATTTGGTTTCACTTTCCTCTCTCACAGCTCTCCCACCTTTCCTTTCAACACCTGCAGTGTGGCAACACCGCAGCCATTGCCCAACCCCAGCGACTCGGCTGGTTCAGGTTCTAGTTTTGCTGACCATAAGTGGCTATTTCAGCTGACAAACAGGCCCAGTGCTCCCAAACCCCATCCCCTCCGGTGGGAATCACCCGCCCTGTTGCTGACATCAGGAGGAGCATCCTCCAGGCAGGCACAAGGCTGACATCCCACAGCACCATGGGGTTCAGCTGCTGCTTGTGCCATGCTCGTGCATGATCCCCTTCCATGGGTACCTATAAAACTGGTTCCTGACCCTCCCAACAGGGCAGAGTGGCACCAAAACTGTCCCCTTGTGTCATCCTTAGCAGGGGGATGCAGCTGCACCCATACCCAATGGCATTGGAAGGGGCTGCTTGGGAATGGGAGCAGATGGCAACCGGCTCCACCGGCACCGGTCCCAGCCAAGCTGCCAGCTGAGCCCCAGCCAACTCATCACCCCTGCCACTGCCACCACCCCACCGGGCATGGCTGGGGCCTGTCCGTCTGTCCATCTGTTCCATGGCCCCCCCCCCGCCTCCGTGGGTTATGGGACAGTTCAGCCCCATCCCCAGCTCCGAGCTCAGTGTCACCCACCCCATGGGGATCACCCCATTCCCTGCCTCCATTCCCCTTTGGGGAATAATGGTGATGGAGGCGGATATGGAATCATCCCGCCCCCAGTGCTATGGAGACAAGGCAGGGTGAAGGTGGGTACCCCAGCACTCAGGGGTGCCAACAGCTCCCCAGAAAGCATTTGGGTGACAGAGGAACCCATCCACACCTACACAGCAGGAGGATGAAGCAGCAGGAGCACAGCATGGGAGAGAAGGAGGAGGAGGAAGAGGATGGTGCATGGGGATAACCATGAGGATCCCCTGAGAGTGGTCTTCCCACCGGAGCATTCCACCCTAGCTGGGTGGAATGGATGGGAAGCGCCATGGGCAGCGTGCTGCTGTTCCAGTGCTATTCCTGGCCACTCTCCAGCAGTGATGCCCACAGGGACACCCCTTCCCCTGCCTGCACATGAGCAGGACAAGGCTCAAAGGGGGTTTCTGGCCCCAAAGCAGCTCTGACCTGGAAGAAGGAGCTCCCTCCCCCCCGGCCTCCCAGCCCCATCGCTGGCTGGGAAAGCAGGATTTCCGCTGGAAGAAGAGCAATTCCCGGATCCGAGGGGCTGCAGGGGCGGAGGGAGGGCTCCAAATACAATGTCCCGGGAGGAGCGGGTGGGGAGGGAATTGTGCAGGGCAGGAAGCGGCGAGTTCCTGTCCCTCCTTGGGACACACCAAAGGACCAGGGACAAGCAGAGCAATGGGGAGCGGGGGGAGCAACCGTGGCCTGACGCCCCTATAGCTACCCCAGCATCCCACCGTGGACACCCACTGGGCTGCCACAACATCGGCATCATGGGGGCTGGGGAGAGCAGAGGGGTGTCCCCCCATCACCCCCAGCACCCTGGGTTGCTGTGACCCCCTCTCAGGTCCAGCACAGGCAAAAGGCACCATCTGTCCCCCCACAGCTTCCCCATTGCCACCCGTTAGTGCCGGGAGAGTGAGCGCCTGCCCCATGCAATGTTCCCCCTCTCACCTGCTGCCCCCATCAAGGGAGGTTGAGGGTTCGCTGTTCACACACACCCCCCACACCCCACACCCCCCCCAGTCTCACTGCAGCAGCCGTTGCTGCCCGGAGGGGAGCAGTAAGAGCAGGACCCATGGCATCCCCCAAGGCTCAGTGGGGCTCCATCCCCATGGCCCAGTGCCCCATCCCACCCCAGACCCACAGCTGCCCCGCACATGGCGGGGGTGCACACAGCAAAGGGACTGATTGAGAGTCACCCCCGTACTGCACATCCCACCTACCGCCAGCCCTGCTGCTCCGGCTCGCATGGACCCCTGCTCCCGCGCTGCTCCGGATGAGACCTCAGGCTGGGGAAACACCACAGCACCCCGAACCCCGGCCGTGTGGGCTGCCGGGGGGGTGCCGGGGCGATGTGGGGAGCGCGGCGAGGTCCGTGTGCGTGCGCTTCCCCTGTCTCTTCGGCAGCTCTTGCAGCAGAGCAAGGAGCTTCCCCTCCCCTCGCCACCCCTTCCTCCCAGCGCTCCCAGCACCGGCTCTCGGTACCAGCGCCCGCCGGGACCCAGCTCTGTGGGATCCATCCCTGCTCCCAGCGATGCGCCAGGCTGGGGGCTGCCCGCAGCCATCGGGAGGCAGAGCGTGGCATCACCCCCGGCACCCCCCGAGCGTGGCAAAGGGACAGCAGGTTGCGAAGAGGGGCCACGTCCCAGCGGGGTGAGGGCAGGGGATTGCGGCCACATTCCAGCCCGGAGCTGGCTGCAGCCCCCATGTCCCCGCAGCTCCAGGCTGGATTGCAGGTGCATGGATGGGGGTCCTGCCCCACCTCGCCAGGCCTTCCTCTGCCCCCTCCTCCTCCTCGCCTGCGGTTAGCCCTCGCAGGCTGACCTCTTTCCTGTGTGAAGGTGAGCCTGGCGCCGGTGTTCCCTGTTCTCATGGCGGGGGCAGGATGGGGACCTGCTCCACACGGCCCTTTCCATCCCCACACTCATCCTGGGATCACAGCTCCTCTTCATCCCAACCTTGGGGCTTGCTGAGGCGGCTGTTGGGGATGGAGCCAGCCTTGCCACAGTGTCCCCGTGTAGGGGCCAAGGCACAGCAGGGACATGGGCTGCTCAGGCTCCAGCCCCACGGGGGGCATCACCCCTGGTGATGCTGAGCCCTGCCTGCACCCGGGGTGCCCCACACCCCAGACAGGGCCGGTTCATCCCCTCCTCCAGGGAGGGCCCCGGCTTCTGCATTGGCTCCTGCCTGATTTCACCATCACCAGCTCTTGCTTAAAGGGAAGAGGTGGTGCTGGGAGCCGGGGCGGCGAGGATGGGTGCTCTCCACTGGGTCATAGCCTGTGCGCTCTGCACCATCACCCGGGGTGAGTCTGTCCCATTGGGACACCCAGAGGTGGGAGCTGGGGTGGTTGCTGCATCCATCACTGCTCCTCCTGCAGCTGGCAGTGGATGTGGGTGCCCAGACCCAGGGTGTGCTGAGCACCCATGGGAGAGGCTGGGTGACACCAGTGGGGCAGCGGGGGCTGCCTGTATTAGGTTGGATAGGGTTTGGAGCAAGCTGCTCTAGTGGAAGGTGTCACTGCCCATGGCAGGGGGTTGGAACTGGGTGCCTGGTCCACCCCATCCCCAGCTTGGCCTTGGTGGGGCTCAGCCCCACTGAGCCCTGCCCCTCTTCTGCCTCCCAGGACAGGACTCTGGGCTCTCCCGCTCACCCCCTCACTTCGGCTCCATCTACCACGTCCGAGGTAATGGGACCCTGCAGCATCCCTTTGCTGGGGGGAGAGGAGGATGCTCAGCACCCGACAGGACCAGGCTGTCCTAACCCATGAGCCGTGGGGACAGCACCTTGTTGGCTGTGGGGCTGCATCCTCTATGGGTGAAGGGTGGGATGTTGGGGTGCTGAGGCTGTCTCTCTCACAGGTGTCATTAACCTGCCCTATGCTGAGATCGAGGAGCCCTTCGAAGCCTGGTACAACCTGACAGGGAACAAGAGCCGCATCCAGTATTATGGGGGTAATAAGGAAGCGGGGATCCATCTGCTCCAGGCTGTGCCCACCCTGCCCCATCCCAGTCCAAAGGGGCAGGAGCACCGTGCCTCAGTTTCCCCATCCCATCGGCACAGGGCAGGTGATAACGTACCAGCTGGCAGCTGTGAAGCCCTATGGGATGAGGTACAAGATCACCCCAGAGACCACCGAGAAGGAGGTGAACACCAAGAAATGCTTCCAGCTGCCCGGCTCCAAGGAGGACGTGGTCAAAGCTCAGAGCGTCTTCCCCACCATGGATGGCTTCAAGGTGAGTGATGCCAGAGCCTGGATCCGCCTCACTGCCCGGAGCATCCTCACGTTCTGGGCTGGGGTTCAGGGCAGCCGGAGCTGCTCCCTTCCATCCCGAGGACAGGCCGGGACATGTTCCTGTGCCCCAGGGTGCAGGGAGGGTCGCTTCCCACCTGGATTGGGGCTGGACTCCCGCCTCCTTTCCCAACACCATGTTGGGACGTGTCGCAGCCCACACGGATGCCAGCGTTTCGGGATGGTTTGGGCAAGTCCCTGCATGGCAGCGGCTCAGCTCCTGCTGTGTGTCCACAGGGAAAGAGCTTGGAAACACACAGGGAAACCCTTTAGGAGAGGGTGTGCAGCCAGGGACACCCCTCTGTGTGTGCACATACAGCACTGTATGCAACAGGGTGTCCCCAGGGCACTGCTGAGCTGGATAATCATGGAATCCCAGCCTGGTTTGGGTTGGAAGGGACCCTTGTCCCTTTGTCCTGTCCCTACATCCCTTGTCCAAAGCCCCTCTCCAGGTTTCCAGCACTGGAGCTGCCTTGCCTTGCCTCCTGCCCCATGCTCTGCTGTTTGCTATTGGCCATGTGGCTGCTGGATCCAAGAGCCTGGCAAGGGCACATGAGCTGACGCTGTGTCCCTGCTAGTTCCTGCGGGAGGAGTACTACCGGGGCCGGTACTGCGCCGTGTGGCAGAACATCACCCACTGGGCACAGAAGAAGAACGTCTACACACTGTGGGTGACCAACTCCAGCTGCGGGGTGGCCCCCGTCCACTACGAGATGCGGGGCTACAACAGCCTGCTGGGCTCCCACTACGACAAGTATGAGATCGCCTACACCGACTTCGACAACAGCTTCCCACCTTCCATCTTTGATCTCCCCATCAACGGTGAGCCAAGGATGGACCCCACCATCATGTCCACAGGGTGTCCATTGGGTCCATAGGGTGTCCATTGTGTCCATAGGGTGTCCATCGTAACCAACAGGGTGTCCATCGTGTCCATAGGGTGTCCATTGGGTCCATAGGGTGTCCATTGGGTCCATAGGGTGTCCATCGTAACCAACAGGGTGTCCATCATGTCCATAGGGTGTCCATTGTGTCTATAGGGTGTCCGTAGTGTGCATAGGGTGTCCATCGTGTACATAGGGTGTCTATCATGTCTGTAGGGTGTCCATTGTGTCCATAGGGTGTCTATCATGTCCATAGGGTGTCCATTGTGTCTGTGGGGTGTCCATTGTGTCCATAGGGTGTCCACCATGTCCGTAAGGTGTCCATCACGTCTGTAGGGTGTCCATCATGTCCATAGGGTGTCCACAGGGTGTCCATCGTGTCCATAGGGTGTCCGCCGTGTCCATAGGGTGTCCATCGTGTCTGTAGGGTGTCCGTCGTGTACATAGGGTGTCCATAGTGTGCATAGGGTGTCCATCGTATCCATAGGGTGTCCATCATGTCTGTAGGGTGTCCGTCGTCTCCATAGGGTGTCTGTCGTGTCCGTAGGGTGTCTATTGTGTCCATAGGGTGTCCATTGTGTCCATAGGGTGGCCATTGTGTCCATAGGGTGTCTGTCATGTCCATAGGGTGTCCATAGTGTCTGTAGGGTGTCCATCGTGTCCGTAGGGTGTCCATCATGTCCATAGGGTGTCCTTAGTGTCCGTAAGGTGTCCATCGTGTCCGTAGGGTGTCCATCATGTCCATAGGGTGTCCTTAGTGTCTGTAGGGTGTCCATTGTGTCCATAGGGTGGCCATTGTGTCCATAGGGTGTCTGTCATGTCCATAGGGTGTCCATTATGTCCGTAAGGTGTCCATCGTGTCTGTAGGGTGTCCATCGTGTCCATAGGGTGTCCATCGTGTCCGTAGGGTGTCTATTGTGTCCATAGGGTGTCCATTGTGTCCATAGGGTGGCCATTGTGTCCATAGGGTGTCTGTCATGTCCATAGGGTGTCCATCGTGTCTGTAGGGTGTCCATCGTGTCCGTAGGGTGCCCGTCATGTCCATGTGCTCACGGCATCCTCTCCTTGCCCTGCAGAGACGAAGAAGTGCGGGGTCTTGCCGGGGAGCGTGGCGGAGCACCGTGTGCTGGCCAACCCCATGGAGGACCTGGTGGGACGGCACCAACCCTGGGCCCATGAGGTCTTCCACCACTACCGCAGGCAGCATGGCCGGCGGTACGGCTCCGTGCGGGAGCTGGAGCACAGGCAGAGCATCTTCGTGCACAACATGAGGTACGGGAGGATGGAGGGGGAGAAGCCCTCGGGTCCGGGTTAGGGTTTGGGCTGTGCCGGGTGATGGTGCCGGTGCCAGCTGATGCCGTCCCCGCCGCGGGGCAGGTTCGTGCACTCCAGGAACCGCGCCGCACTCTCCTACACGCTGGCCCTGAACCACTTGGCCGACCGCACGCCCCAGGAGCTGGCTGCACTGCGGGGCCGCCGCCGCAGCCGGGCCCCCAACACCGGGCAGCGCTTCCCCAGCGAGCTCTACACCGGCCTCATCCTGCCCGAGAGCCTCGACTGGCGCATGTACGGTAGGTGCGGTGCTGGGCTCGTGGTGGCAGCGCCCTGAGTGCCACCGTGCTCCCCATCACCGTGCTGTGGGGCTGTGTTATCCCTTGGGATCCACGGCTCCCTGTGGTTCTGCTCAGCAACTGGAAGATGGAAGCAGGGGAGAAGCTCTTCCCTATGAGGGGCATTGGAATGGGCTGAACCAAGAAGCCATGGCTGCCCCATCCCTGGCAGTGTTCAAGGCCAGGTTGGACACAGGGGCTTGGAGCAAGCTGCTCTAGAGGAAGGGGTCCCTGCCTGTGGCAGGGGTTGGTGCTGGATGAGCTTTAAGGTTCCTTCCAACCCAAACCAGGCTGGGGTTCTATGGTTATCTGATCAAGGTAGCTCAGTTGGCACTTAGCCCTCATCCAGCCTGGTGTCCCATGGACAAATACATCATCTGAAGCCACATCTGGCTTCACACAGAATGACAGCATCCCAGACTGCTGCTCCATCCCCATCCAACCTGGTCTTGAACACTGCCAGGGATGGGGCAGTCACAGCTTCTCCATTCAGCCCATTCCAGTGTCCCAGCACCCTCACAGGGATGAACTTCCTTATATCCAACCTGAACTTCCCCTGCTCCAGTTTAAACCCATCCCATCTGGGAGTACACCAAGTCCTCACCTCCTGCCTCAGTTTCCCTTCCACTTATCCTCATCCCCTGGTGCCCCCCCAGCCTCTCACCCCCCAACCCGCTGTCCCCAGGTGCTGTGACCCCCGTGAAGGACCAGGCTGTCTGCGGCTCCTGCTGGAGCTTTGCCACCACGGGTGCGATGGAGGGTGCCCTATTCCTCAAGGTGGGAGCGGGGCCGCACTCCATGGGGATGGCTGGGGCGCCGGGAGCGTGCCTGTCCCCATCCCTGCAGCGTGTCCCCTCCCCAGACCGGTGTGCTGACCCCCCTGTCCCAACAAGTCCTCATCGACTGCTCCTGGGGCTTCGGGAACTACGCCTGTGACGGGGGGGAGGAGTGGAGAGCCTACGAGTGGATCAAGAAACACGGCGGCATCGCCAGCACCGAGTCCTACGGCACCTACAAGGGGCAGGTGAGGGGTTCCCCAGGTCTTTGGGGTGCTTTAAAGCCATGGTGGGGCTGATCAGGATGGGTCAGAGGTGCTGAACGGGCTCCGGAGGTGGGGATGTCTCCTTGTCCCCAGGCTCCCTGCAGAAGCAAGCACAGTCCAAAGCCAGCCCCAGGCTCAGTTTCATCACTGCACGCCGCGATTTCTCCTCTTGTGAAATAAGGGACAAGGCTCCTCCACCCATGGGTGGTGCTGTGGGTCCCTGCGTACCCCGGGGTACAGGGATGGAGCAGGGATGGAGCAGGGCTGCCTGGGGACAGGGAGGTGGCTGCAGGACACATGCAACTGCCCCCAGGCTTCGGGGGCAGAGTCAGCTCCCATCCGCACCACAGGGGTAGGGTGGCACAGAGGGGTCACAGCCAGGATGCTGCCCCACATCACTCCATGCACCCTGCTCCTGGGGGCTCCTGATGACACCGTGTCCCCTCCCTGGGTACCACAGAATGGCTTGTGCCACTACAACCAGTCTGAGATGCTGGGCAAGATCACGGGCTACGTCAACGTCACCTCGGGCAACATCACAGCAGTGAAAGCTGCCATCTACAAGCACGGCCCTGTGGCCGTCAGCATCGATGCCTCGCACAAGACCTTCTCTTTCTACTCCAACGGCATCTACTATGAGCCCAAGTGCGGTGAGTCGGGGGGGACCCAGGGCACGGGAGTCCCCAAGGAGATGTCAGGACTCCCCAGTTCCAGCTTGGGTTAGGAGGGGACCAGCCCCCCATCCCTCCCCTGTGCTGCAGCGATGCCCACAGAACAGGATGCCCACATCCACCATCACCTCCTGTGCTGTCCCCTGCAGCGAATGAGACAGGAGAGCTGGACCACGCGGTGCTGGCCGTGGGCTATGGGGTCCTGCAGGGAGAGACCTACTGGCTCATCAAGAACTCCTGGTCCACCTACTGGGGCAACAACGGCTACATCCTCATGGCCATGAAGGACAACAACTGCGGTGTGGCCACCGAAGCCACCTACCCCATCCTGGCCTGAGCCACCCTTTGGGCTGCAAGGAGAGCCCTCGGCGATGCTCTTGGCACTCATCCCTGGATGAGCATCCCTGGATGACCCATCCCTGGATCAGCATCTCTCAATCAGCCCTTGGGTGTGAGCCCATCACGCAGCAGGACGCCGTGGGACACGGTGGGACAGGGCCATGGGGTGCTGGACAAGGGGACCCTGCTGTGGACTTGCCAATAAAGCCCCTGCAATAACAGTGGTTTGCTTCTACAGGAGAGGCTCCGGTGCTGCAGAAGCAGCTCCGTGCCCTTTGCAGAGCCATTCCCAGACAGCCCAGGCGAGGGGAGCGGCTGTTCCAGCCCTGTCTCCTGAGGTGGAGCACAAACAAGCCCAGGGATTTCTGCTGAGCTGAGACATTCCTGGCGTGGGATGCTGGGAAGGGGGGAAGGCATCAGCCTCTGCCCCACTGCCTGTTGTGGCTACGGGTGGGGATGTGGCGCCGGCAGCGTCTGATGCCACAAGCACAGGACAAAGGGAATGGCTTTAACCTGCCCGAGGGGAGATGGGGATGGGATCTTAGGAAGGAATTCTTCCCTGTGAGAGCGGTGGGACACTGGGATGGGTTGAACGGAGACGCTGTGGCTGCCCCATCCCTGGCAGCACATGCAGCCAGTCTAAACTGAGCCCTTATCAGCTCTGCTTTGGGCTGCTGCTGCTGCTGTCACCTTGGGCTGGTGGCCAGCGGGATGCACGCAGACAGGAGGGGTGAAGGCCACTCTGCTCATGGCTCCCCTTCCCGGGTCTGTTCTTCCATGCAGCTCCTGTCATTTCGTGCCCATCTCTCTCCTTTTCCCAGTTAAAACCCCTAAGTGCAATCCTAGCTTGCCCTGATGGTGTGTCCGGAAGGATGCAGGGATGCACACAGCCCCCATCTCCCCATGGCTGCCCACAGCTACACTGGGGGACATGTCCCAGGGAGCGGGGAGCACCCAGAGGGGCTCTGGGGTGCCAGGCAGGGTCTCCCTGCACCTCGCTGCCCCTGGTTGCTGCAGCACCCTGCATGCAGCAATGCCTGGATGCCAAGTGCCCAGAGCACAGGGAACCCTCAGCATCCAGCCCTCAGGGCACCCACCTTTACCCTGCCACACAGCCCCACAGGGGTCTGGGTGCCCCCACCCCAAGTCCCATGAGACCCTGGCATGGGTGGGAAAGGCATGGGTGCCCATGGGGGGGGGACACACACCCCTAAAGCCACACCTCCCCCTCGGTCTAGCCCCAGCCAAGGCTTTGCCCATTGGTTTCCTGCAGCTCCCTGCCCACCCAGCAGTGGTATTTAAGGCACCCATGTGTGCAGCACGGGCTGGGGGTGCAGGATGGGGTGGCTGCTGGTGCTGGGTGCTGCCATGCTGCTGGGTGAGCACCCACCTTGGGGGGGGGGGTGTCAGGGTGATGCCCCTTAGCCTAGGCACTGTGGGGTCCCTGTCCCCATGCCCGGAGCAGGGCAGGGGCACTGGGCACACTTGTCCACCCCAAGCCCTGTGGTGTGCGGGGGGGTCTGGGATGCCCCGAACTGCACCATAGGGAGAGCAGGGATGGGGGCTCTGGGTCAGCAGGGACTGGGGCTCTCTGCTCTCTGCCCTGCCACCAGCACAGGGACAGGGAGCCAGGGAGCAGACCCTGCTGTAAGGGGTTAATGAGCAGCATAAAGGGCTTTGGGGCATGGATTTGTTCTTCTTCCAGGAGCAGAGAGCAAAGCTCCCCTGGAGACCCCCACATTTGGGGACATCTACCACGTCACAGGTACCGCCTGGGGAAAGGGCACCCAATGGGAGCAGGGGGTCTGCACCTTCACCCATGGGTGACGCTGTGAGGCCATGGGGGGCTCCATCCTTACTCAGTGCTCCCCTCCCAGCCAAGGGCGCAGGGCAGGGGGACAGGGGATGCCTCTGGGTCTCAGTCCCTCTGTCCCCACAGGAGTCATCAGCCTGCCCTATGCGGAGATCAAGGAGCCCTTTGAAGCCTGGTACAACCTCACCGGGGGGAAGAGCCGCATCCAGTACTATGGTGGTGGGTGCAGAGACGCTTCACCACCCGCCCTAGGACCTTTGGGTGCCTCCTGGGAGCCAGGAGGTGGGGTTTTGCCTTGGCTTTCGCACTGTCCCTGTCCCCAGGCCAAGTGGTCACCTACCAGCTGGGCTCCATCGAGCCCTTTGGTGCCAGCTTCAAGGTGACTCCCGAGACCACGGAGACGGAGGTGAACGTCCGCAAGTGCTTCCGCATCAACGGCACCGATGGGGACCTCATCACCCCACAGAGCGTCTTCCCCAGCCTGGAGAACTTCAAGGTGAGCCCTGGGCATGGTCCTCCGGGATGTGGGATGGGGCAGTGGGTGCAGGGTGTCTGGTGACTACCTCCCTCCGAGGGCAGGTAAATACAGGGTACCTATAGGGCTGGATGGGCCCATGGGTGATGATGGAGGTGACATGGATGCAGCTGGGGTGCCCCCATGGGGCACGGTGCTGGTGTGGTCCTGGTCCCTAACTCGTGTGCTGTGCCCAGCGGGTGCGGGACGAACGGTGCCAGGGGCAGCCCTGCGCTGTGTGGCAGAACATCTCCTACTGGGGCCACAAGAAGAACGTGTACAGGCTGCGGGTGGGCAGCTCTGCCCATGGCCCCGTGCCCCTGCACTACGAGGTGCGGGGCTACAACAGCCTCCTGGGGTCTCACTACGACAAGTACGAGATCGCCTACTCCTCCTTCAGCCACTGCTTCCCCCCCAGCGTCTTCCAGCTCCCCGTGGGTGAGTGTCCCCATCCGCTGCCAAACGCAGCACCTTTATCACTTGTCTTCATGCAAGAGCTTCATCATTTGGGTGAATTAGTTTGGTGGGGAAAAAGCAGGGAGAAGTGGCATTAGTTGGGTAGCTGGGGTGATGCGGGTGCTTTCCGAGCACGGTGCTGGGTGAGATGGCTCTGGAAGAGGGTGTGGATGCAGAGGTGCACCCAAATAGAATCATAGAATCCCAGCCTGGTTTGGGTTGGAAGGGACCTTAAAGCTCATGGTCCCACGGGCAGGGACACCTCCCACTAGCCCAGGGTGCTCCAAGCCCCATCCAACCTGGCCAGCTCCAAGTCCTTATGCTGGAGAAACCAGAACTGCACCCAGTGTTCAAGTGGGGCCTCAGAAGAGGGCAGAGGGGCGAAAGCAGAGTAGAGGGGCATATGGGATGGACAGTCCCACTGGATTTGGGGTGCTCACGCTGTGCCTTCTGGCTGGGGGTCCCCACTCAGAGGGGGGAGCTCATGAGCTGTGTCCTCATGGCAGGGGTGCAATGCAAACAGTGGCCCACAGCCGGCCCCGAGCACCGCATCGTGGCCAACCCCATGCAGGAGTTCGTGGGGCGCCCACAGGAGATGGACCACATCCACCACCGCCTCTTCCACCGCTACAAGGAGCGCTTCAGCAAGAGCTACAGCAGCGAGGAGGAGCACGAGCACCGCAAGCGCGCCTTCATCCACAACATGCGGTACGGGGTGACGGGGAGCCGGGCTCGGGGATGGGATGCTCCTTGCCTCCCAGCGGATGGAGGGGTGGAAGCCCTCACGCCGGGTGATGGTGCCGGTGCCAGCTGATGCCGTCCCCGCCGCGGGGCAGGTTCGTGCACTCCAGGAACCGCGCCGCGCTCTCCTACACGCTGGCCCTGAACCACTTGGCCGACCGCACGCCCCAGGAGCTGGCTGCACTGCGGGGCCGCCGCCGCAGCCGGGCCCCCAACACCGGGCAGCGCTTCCCCAGCGAGCTCTACACCGGCCTCATCCTGCCCGAGAGCCTCGACTGGCGGCTCTATGGTGAGGAGGGTGCTGGGGCCATGAGGGTGCACGGGTACAGCCCAGCTCTGCGCAGCGGGGTTTGCATGGGGACAGCATCATCGTCCCCTGCTCAATGTGTCCCCAGGCGCTGTGACCCCCGTGAAGGACCAGGCTGTCTGCGGCTCCTGCTGGAGCTTTGCCACCACGGGTGCGATGGAGGGTGCCCTATTCCTCAAGGTGGGAGCGGGGCCGCGCTCCATGGGGATGGCTGGGGCGCCGGGAGGGTGCCTGTCCCCATCCCTGCAGCGTGTCCCCTCCCCAGACCGGTGTGCTGACCCCCCTGTCCCAACAAGTCCTCATCGATTGCTCCTGGGGCTTCGGGAACTACGCCTGTGACGGGGGGGAGGAGTGGAGAGCCTACGAGTGGATCAAGAAACACGGCGGCATCGCCAGCACCGAGTCCTACGGGCCCTACCTGGGGCAGGTGAGGGGGGCAGGGTGCAGTGCCACCCCCTTCCCAAGCCTTCCCCCCCCAGACCATCCCTTTGGCAGCAGTTGGCGGCTCCACTTTGGCTTATGGGTGCTGCCCCCCTCGCCTGCTGAGGGACCCCAGCGCCACCCCAGCCTCCTCCCCACAGAACGGCTACTGCCACTGCAACCAGTCAGAGCCGGTGGCCCAACTCGCCGGGTACGTCACCGTGGAGCCGGGCAGCGCCACGGCTCTGAAGGCTGCGCTGGTCAAGCACGGCCCCGTGGCTGTCAACATCGACGCCTCCCACAAGTCCTTCGCCTTCTATGCCAACGGGGTCTATGAGGAGCCCCGCTGCGGTGAGCCCCATGTCCACCTCCTACCTGCTGGGGATGGAGAATCCGGGCAGAGGATACGGGATTGGGAATGAGCTCCAGCTCCAAGGGATGGGGAATGAGGCGGCTCCATTGTCTTCTCCTGGCCAGGCAATGAGACAATGGCGCTGGACCACGCGGTGCTGGCCGTGGGCTACGGGGTCCTGCATGGCAAGAGCTACTGGCTCATCAAGAACTCCTGGTCCACCTATTGGGGCAACGACGGCTACATCCTCATGGCCATGAAGGACAACAACTGCGGTGTGGCCACTGCTGCCTCCTTCCCCATCCTGGCCTGATGGGACACACGTGTCCCATCCCGTCCCCTCCGTGTCCCTGCAGGCAGCTCCAGATGGATGGGGGCTGGCAGAGGGACACGGGGCCCTGGGAGGCAGCTGTGGGGCAGAGGGATTAGCTCAGAGGATGCTTCCAGCCCTCTGGAAAAGGTAATTTACCATTATAGCAATAAAAGCCTATAGAAGTGATCCTGTCTGCCACGCTGCCAGTTCCAGCCTGTCCTCTGTGAAACACAGCCCTTGCCACGGCTGCCTCCGGCACCCCTGTGTGATGAGTTTCACCCAGTGCTCACCCCTTGGGTTACACGTAGCCAAACCGCACAGGTTTCAGTGCTGGCACCCCCCTTCCCAGCAGCAGGAATAAGTCCGAATCATTCCATAGACGGTTTGGGTTGGAAGGGACCTTGAAGCTCCTCTCGTTTCCTTCCCCTTGTTCCACCCCCTGCTGCAGTGATCGCTGCACTGATGGCTGTAACCATCCTCCCCAGGGCTGCTGACTCCAAGGCGGTGCCTGGGAGAGGCAGGCTCACCCTGCAGGCATGATGGGCTTTATTCTGTCTTTGCTTCTCTTGGCTGCAGCCAGTGAAAGGCGCTTTGACATCCAGGGAAGCGGCACCTGGAGGCTCCCTTTGGAGACGGGATGCTGAGCACGCAGGGGAGAGCTGGAGGCTCTGCACCCCAGGGGAGCTCAGAGGATTTAGCTCCAACCTTCCCCATGGCCAGCCCCTTCCCCATGCCCAACCCGGCCCTTCCCCACGTTCAGCCCAGCCCCTTCCCTACACTCGGCTCGGCTCGGCCGTGCTCGGCTCGGTTCGGCACGGCTCGGCTGTGCTCGGCTATGCTCAGATAGGCAGGGCTCGGTTCGGCACGGCTCGACTCGGTTCGGCCCGGCCCGGCCCGGCTCGGCTCGGTTCAGCTCGGCTATGCTCGGCGCGGCCCGACTCGGCTGTGCTCGGCTATGCTCAGATCGGCAGGGCTCGGCTCGGCTCGGCTCGGCTCGGCTCGGCTCGGTTTACCCCAAGCCAACCCCCACTTCCGGGTCCCCTCCCGCAAAGCCTTGTGGGACATCCCCCCCTTGAAGCGCGCGTCATACGGCGGAGGACGGGGGGCGTGGCCTGTTTGCGTCACCGCGTGACGTCAGCGCCGCCCCTTCCCCACCGCCCGCGGAGGGAAGAGGGCGGGGGAGGGAGGAGGAGGACGCGAAATCGCTCCGCCCACTTCTGAGGCCTAACCAATCAGAAGCGGCGTGGGCGTGAGTGACGAGGGAATTGGCCAATCGAAGCGGCCGGGGGGCGGTGCTCGGCGGGCGGGGCGGGCCGCGCCGGGCCGCGCCTGTCAGCGGGCGGCGGGATGGCGGCGCTGTACGCCTGCACCAAGTGCCACCAGCGCTTCCCCTTCGAGGCGCTCAGCCAGGGCCAGCAGCTCTGCAAGGTCCGGCGGGGCCGGGGCCGCGCTGGTGTGGGGCCGTTTGTGAGGGAGAGCGGGGTTAAAGGGGTCCGAGGGGTCATAGAGGGACGGGGTCTGCTTGTGGCGGGGGTCATAGGGGGGCTGGGGCGGCTCTTGGGGGCCTCAGGGCACGTGGGGGGCATGGGGGAGGTGTTGAGGGGCTGGAGGCGTGGGGGGAGCTGGGAGTGTGCGGTAATGAGAGACTGCTTGTTTGCCAGGCGGTGCTGAGGGGTGTCCGGGGGTGCTGGGGGGTGTCCGGGGGTGCTGGGGGGTGTTCGGGGGTGCTGGGGGGTGTCCGGGGGTGCTGGGGGGTGTTCGGGGGTGCTGGAGAGGGATTTATGGGGCCACTGGGGGAGAATTGGGAGGGAGGTGGGTGTTGTTCATGGGGGAAGTCTGTTTGGGATGGAGGGTTGGAGCGTTGGGGGATCCAGGGATGTTTGGAAGGGACTGGGGATTCTTAGGGGGGATCTTCTGGTATTTTGGAGAGGGGTGAGGTTAGGGGCACCGTTTGGGTTGGGAAGAGCAGAGGTGTGGGTACGTGTGGCAGCACTCAGTTCCTGCCCCGGGAGGTGAGGCCAGTGGGCGTTGGGCACAGATAAGCCCTCCCTTTACCTGTGACACACGTGGCTCCTGCCAGCCTCCCGCTGCTGTCAGCAGCGTGACGGTACCGGGAGGAAGTGTCCTGCCTGATGGGTGGGTGTGCGTGGGGTCAGCGGGTGACCTGGGGTGTGGGAGGGAAGCGCTGCCTCTCACCCGGTGCTGCTGTTCTGCAGGAGTGCCGGATTGCACACCCCATTGTCAAATGCACTTACTGCAGGACTGAATTCCAGCAGGAAAGGTAAATGCCCTCTGAAGTGGGGGAGCCCAGTGTTTTCTATAGAGCAGGCACACCAGAATGATTCCCCCCCTTCAGTGACTGAGCCTTAACCTCTAGGCTGTTGCTGTGGAGGACTTGGCCTTCTTCAAAGGTCTTCTAGGCAAGTCTGTGGTGTCTTTAAGTGTGCACTTTTTGCTTGGTTTGGTTTTTGGTCAGTGCTTAGATGCATCTTGTGATGAAGGAGCTGGGTGCACCTTCCCACCAGCTTCCCTCTTACCTGATTTCTGGTACCCAAAACTCATTTCCTAATGTGTTTTCTTTATCTGTGCAAGTTACAGAGGAAGAATTGGTAACCCCAGTTGTGTGAGATGTTCTTTCCTATGTGTGTTGGACAAAACCACCTCTGCCCTGCCCTGCCTTAACCTCCTCATCCAGTCACCAGTGCTGAATCACGCCTGCTGCCAATCAGCCGGTGCTCGGACTCCTGTATTTGGGAGGACCTGATGGCACCTGGGGATGCCTTAACTAAAAGCTGCCTTTTGTAATAGCACTTTCAGGCAAATTATCCTCAACCAGATGGGGATAAGAAACACACTTTGATATCTGAGTCCCTAGTGAAGACGAATACAGTCTCACCACTAGAGACTGAGCACAGGGGAGACTGGGATCCTAAACCATGGATTTAATGTTCTTTGGGGAAGTGTTAATGGAATGATCTGTCCTTCTCTTTTAATAGCAAAACCAACACAATATGCAAGAAGTGTGCTCAGAATGTGAAGCTCTACGGCACAGTAAGTGAGCAGCAGCCTTTGTTCCTTTCATCATCCTCGTCTATCCTGCTGGCTCCCAGAACAGTTTATGGGCTGCTCTGTTGTAATAGCATGACTGATCAATAACATGCAGGTCCCTCAAGGGTGAAGCTTTTACCTTTTCTCTCCTTTCACACAGAAAAGAGCAGCTCTGCATCATTTGAGGCCAGGAAATGGACTATTGGGTAGCCGATAGAAATGAGAGCGTGCTTACACAAAGCTGAGATTGCTGCAGGAAGCAGTGCTAAATCTTTCTTTCATGATTGTCTGGAATCTGAAAAAGAGATTTGGATTGTATTATAGATTTTCCAGTTATTTTATTGCACTTGATAAGTGGTCTGGGTGCTAAATACACTTAGCTGGAGACCAGGGGTCCAGCTGCGTTACGTCTCAGATTGGAACAAGGAAACACAAGCTTGGAAGTGACGGGGAGAAGCGGAAAGAGCAATGTATTGGTGTAATTAGAAGGCAGTGCTATATTTTCTCTCTGTTCTTGTTTCTTAAAGCCCAAACCCTGCCAGTACTGCAACATCATAGCAGCATTTATTGGAAACAAGTGCCAGCGGTGCACAAACTCGGAGAAGAAGTATGGCCCTCCACACTCCTGTGAGCAGTGCAAGCAGCAGTGTGCCTTTGACAGGAAGGATGACAGGAAAAAGGTCAGTATCTCTGTAAAAGGAGGCCAAAAAGGTAAAAAGGTTGATCACAGTGGTTGTCTGTCCACACCCTTCAGTATGTGGGACATAGCCTGAAGGAGCTGGAAGTGTCATACCTCCGCCAGGGAACACATTCCATGCTTCTGCCACCCTTTGCTTCAGCAACACAAGTGCTTCTTAGGAGGCTTGAAGCCTTGCTCCTGCAGGCTGTAACCACCCCTTGGTCCTTTGGGATAATGCACTGATAATCCCTTTCCTCAGGATGAGACCCTTGCTGTTTGGGTTTGCACCCTGGCACAAACTGTTCCTTGGCATTGCTTTGAAATCCCACTTGAGTTAGGCTGTCCTGGTGAATGGGTGCTGTTAGATGGGCTGTAAGCAAAGCCTGGCAGAGGCTGTAGTTAGGATGGAGAAGCTTCTTTTGAGGAACCCTGTCTGCATTGCACCAGCCATGCCAGATGCGCTGCTAACCCTTTCCAGGCACTTCTTGAGTCACTGCTTGTTCATATGTGATCTGAAGCCTGAAGTTGCTTCTTGCCTTCAACCCTGTTTGGTTTGTGGGCTGAAAACAAGACCCCAGATTGCCCCACTCTCACGTTGCAGGTGGATGGGAAGCTGCTGTGCTGGTTGTGCACGCTGTCCTACAAACGGGTCCTACAGAAGACCAAAGAGCAGTGCAAACACCTGAGCAGCTCCTCCCGAGCAGGCCTGCAGGAGAAGGAACAGTACAGCAGGCTCAGCAGTGGCAGCCACTACAACAGGTAATCCACGTGTACAGGGTGAGCAACTGGGGGCCCTGGCTGCTCCATGCTCCTTAGGTGCACTTCCTAAAGGAACTGGGAGAAGCACCCACCTTCAGTGATGGGTTTTGGGCTGTTGTTCAGGAGGCTCTGCCTAAGTGAGGCTTCGCCAGTTTGCAAAGCCCACTGTGCTGGAGTAGACTCGTAGGCCACCAGTGCTTCAGCTTCCTGAACTTATATGTAATTCCAGCTCAAGTGCATGTGTGGAATTCCGTGATTTGAAATGGAGATTGGGAGCAGCAGTTCTTCACCTGCCTACTGCTCTGACTGACGCACTGGTGCCTGCTTATTTTTAGTCTCCAGCATTTTTTACCATTCTTGTGCTAGAAAATACTGGTTTAATGGGCTTAAAGTGGGTGGGAATATTTATCTGCTTCTCTCTCTTCGACTGCAAGTCATTCAGGTTCTGACATCCCATTTCCTCATTTCTTTTCCAGCCAGAAAACCCTATCCACCTCTTCTATTCAGAATGAAATCCCAAAGAAGAAAGCCAAGTTTGATGCTATATCTGCCAATGGTGACAGGTGAGCTTGGAACATGGGGAAATTGGGGGTGGGCTGTCTTGTTTTCGGAGTTTTATATGAGACAGAGTGCTGTGTGAATAGCAGGAAGCTATGCTTGAGTTTTGGGACATCGAGGGGCTGCGTTAGGAGCTCTCCAG